GTCATCGCAACCCGCTTCAGCTTCGTCACGAACAGTAGCTTCCAGTTCTCAGGAGTTTCTACTTCTAGCTTCCACGGTTCTTCCCAGTTCACCATCGCAAACTGAGTCTCACTGTTTGCAGCAGGAGTATGTTAACCAGCAAAAACTTCAATCTGAAGCTACATTCATCTATGGTGACGAGTGACTAGAAGAGAAATCTTCTGTGATGACTCAGTCCTCAACTGCCATGGAATATGAATCTGCTGAAAGTGCTGATGATACTTGTAAAGTGGAGAACAAGGTGGTTCCTGCAATCTCTATAGCTGCTGAATATTCAGCAGCACCTACTAGTATGGGAAAGCTGGTTACATCTGCGGCCATTGTGGATAAAACTCAAAGTTATGAGGTAGGTGCAGCTAATTTGACAGACTTTGCTCACTAGAAAATCATTAGTTATGGACAAGTAGATGAACCTCAAACTACCTCGTATACTGTTGCATTAGTTATGGAGATTAAGAAGTCAGGAAGGATCATTCTGTTTATGGAAGAGGTCCATACTCTAATCGGTTATGGCCCGGATGGGAGAGGAAGCAAGGGTTCGGGACTTGGCTTTGCTAATCTGTTAAGGCCATCCCTGGGGTTTCAGCTTATAAGGGTTCATGAACCGAGCCAGGAGGATGCTGCCCAGATATTGCCAGGGCTGCGTGAGAAAGATGAGTATCATAAGTGTAAATATACTTGTGAGGTAATAACAGCTGCTGTGCAACTTTCAGCTACATACAATCCTGATAGATATCTTCCAAACACAGCCATTGATCTTATTGATGAGGCTGGGTTAACGAAGTCTATCATGAAGCCTGGTTTTAAAGTTGACCAGCTTTTGGTTCGGGATGTGAAAGGCTGCAATTTGGTATTATCTGCAATTCGGGACTCTTCTAATTCTGGACTGAGATGGGCTGATGAGTTTGTTCTCGAATACCATTTGTGTAGAATCAGTGTGGGCCTGGACTCTACTACATACAGACTACTCAGGTTGTTGTAATTGATGTCTCCAACAGATAGCATATCATGGATTTATTTTTAAAGCCACGAATTGATAGTGGTATCATAATTGATGGATGGAAAGTGGCTCGATGGACTGCACACTTTTTATGGAGCTGTTCAACGAGCAATCTATTTCTATAATTCTCCTATGATGCAGTCCAAACAGGAGATTGATCAAAGTGGGTAGCTTGCTTGAGGACCTCTTGGCTATGCCCAAATTTGTAATCAATGAGGTTTTTCAACCGTTAGTTAGGGATTTTTTAAAGAGGTGGATTGATCAAACAGTTGAAGTTTGTACGGGTGTTCTTGAAACGGTTAAAGCTGGTTTGCTCTGTGATTCATTTAGAGTCGAAACTCCTCAGATTATTTCTGCCTTATGTGAGTGACTACTGAATTATGATGATGTTTGTAAGCAAGTTGTTGTTCTCTGTTATGTAGCATGAGCATGCTGTGCCTTATCCTCCATAGATTTTGAAGGAATCAAGCTCGTTGCTGAGAGTCTTAGAGACCAATATCTACTGGTAAGAAAATATACATTTGAGAGGCTAGCTGAGGGATACCAAAATTATTGTTTGGCCTGTTCCAATGGCTTGCATACAAGTTTTGAGTATGATTGGATCCCTGGGAAGAGGTTGATGTGTTATTATAATTGGGAATTCAGATAAGATGCTTTTAAACTTGTTCAAGGTCTTAACAAAGTTGAGGTCAATTCTCTTGAAAAAAGGTTGGAACAAAAGCAAAGGATACAACAGGAGATGCAGATGCTGCCATCCTGGTAGATTCTTACTTGTACAACACCATGGAGCATCATACCACCATGTCATTTCTTCTGTTTCTTCCTGTTGTGAAATACATGTGGAAGAAGTTTCAAGAAGTGAAGGTCCTAGCCCAGAAATCAAAGAGGTACTAGGAAGGGAGAGGCGCAAGGATGAAGCTGGATGGCCTGACTGTTTCTTACACCCCACCTTGAGGGCAAGGTGGTTGTCAAAGGGGGAGTAATCATAGAGACCTAGATAGTACTAGTAATAAGAACAATATTTGTCTTTTAATATTGTACAATAAAAGGGGTTTAGGCCCTGAATAAAATAGAAGTGGGCTAGCCCAAATGTAAAAGAATAAATAGGAGTTGGGGGGAGTAGAATAGAGCAGGCAGAAATTAATCTGGACTTGGGAATGCTGAGACTACTCGAAATGTCTCGATCTATTTCTTCTCTTTCTTTCAGTTGCAGCCATTGTTATCCTGTTAAGCTCCTGAAAACTTTATCAATAAAATACTAATTTCTATTGTTTTTCTGGAGGGTTCTAACAAAAGAGCTTTTTCCTATCCCACTTAAAATATTTGGTTGCACTTGTTTTGTTAGTGACATTAATCCTCATCTTACAAAGTTAGATCCCTAATCATTAAAATGTATTTTATTGGGTTATTCTCGAGTTCAAAAGGGGTATGGATGTTTTTATCCAATCGTCTAAGCACATGTCGGTATCTTGTTTCTATTGATTCAAGGATAATGATGAAATACTCATTTACACAGTTACCATACCCAACTCCACCTTCTTTAAGTATATCACATGTTACCGCTCCCTACCCCAGGCCTCAGGTACACATGGTTTATACTTTATACCCATCGACACAAAGCATCAAATCACCTTCCAGTTGCAATTACGTATTCCGATCCTGATACAACTTTGATCTCATGTCTTGACCCAATACCTGCATCTTCAGATCCCGTTTCTACATTAGATCTTGATCTCCCGATAGCACTACGTAAAGGAACACGGTATCGTGTTCATCTTGTTTCTTCCTTTGTGTCGTATAATCATTTATCCCCTGCTTAATGTTCTTTTATTGCTTCCCTTGATTCTATTTCTGTTCCAAAATCTATCAAAGAAGGATTATCTCATCTTGAATGGCGTCATGTCATGGTAGAGGAAATGAATGCTTTGGATCTTATTGGTACTTGAGATTTGGTAAACTTACCTATAGGAAAGAAGTCTATTGAATTTAAGTGGGTCTTTGTTGTCAAGGTTCATTTGTCAGGTTACTTATTTCACTTGCCGCAACTCATGGTTGGCACTTACATGAGTTAGACATTAAAATGCATTCTTGCATGGTGACCTTCAGGAGAAAGTTTATATCGAGCAGCCTCCGAGATTTATTGCTCAAGGGAGTATGGGAAAGTTGTCGACTTCACACGTGTCTTTATGGTCTGAAACAAAGTCCCCGTGCATATTTTGAGAAATTTTGTCAATCAATTAAACGGTTTGGAATGATAAAAGGTTAATCAGATCACTCTGTCTTTTACATACGAATAAAAGCAGGAATCACATTGCTCGTAGTGTATGTCGATGATATTGTGATTTCGGGGAGCGATAATGCAAGTATTTTGGCCCTTGAGAATTTTCTTCGCATTCAATTCCAGACGAAAGATTGGCTCAGTGAAATGCTTTTTGGGGATTGAGGTAACACAAAGTAAATATGTAATTGTGTACTTGACTTGCTAGCTGAAACAAGAAAATCTGGGGCAAAACAGAGCAATACGCCCATGGTTCCTAATGTGCTACTCACTCTCAAAGGCATGCCATTTAAAGATATAAAAGATTGGTTGGAAAGCTTAATTATCTTGCAGTTACCCGTTTAGATATTGCGTACTCAGTGAGTGTAGTGAGTCAATATATGTCATCTCTATAGTTGATCATTGGAATGCTCTAAAACATATATTATGTTACTTCAAGGGAACATCGAGACGAGGTATCATTTATCAAAATCGTGATCACATGAGAATAAAATGCTTTGCAGATATTGGTTGGGTTGGATCTAAAGATGATAGAAGATCTACATCTGGCTATTGCGCCTTTGTTGGTGGTAATTTCGTCTCCTGGAAAAGTACGAAGCAGATTGTGATTTCTCATTCTAGTGCTGACACAATCGGCATGTGAGATAATCTGGATAAACTATTTATTGAGTGAAGTCAGATTGAAGACACTAATGTCTGCTAAGCTGTGGTGTGATAACCAAGTTGCTATACACATTGCCAACAATTCACTGTTTCATGAGAGAATTAAACATATTGAGGTCGATTGTCATTTTATTCGAGAAAAGATACAAAAAGGATTGATATCTACAAGATATGTGAAGACTAGAGAACAATTTAGGGATTTGTTCACTAAAGCACTAAGTGGAATTCGAGTTGGTTATTTATGTAACAAGTTGAGTATGATAAATATCTATCCTCCAACTTGAGGAGTGTAAAATATACTACGTATTTGAGTATACTTTAGAATATGCTTTACATTTTTTTAGGAATATACTCTAGGATATTATTATTGTATAGAATCTTACATGAACATTCTATCTCCCTAATGTATATTTATATATAGGGATATGACCCTCCAATGAAAACTATAGAAAATCATTTCTCCTCCAACATACTTTCTGTTTCAACATGGTGACTGTTCGTTTGATTCCCTACACCGGTGGTGAAGCTGGAATCCCTCAATATCGCCACAACGCCCCCTATATATAAAGTGGAGTACAGACAGTAATCTTATGAAAATAAGAGACTATACATTTTATATTTCCCCTCTTAATAGAAAGTATAAACAAATATAATGGACCACTTGGAAGATCTATCTAGCAGATATGAATGAGGTTTAAAGTGATCACTAGAGATGTAAATATTTATAGCAAGGGTCATGCTTAGCGTGCAAAAGCACCGTACATGGTAAAAGAAGATTTATTTGACTTATCTCTCTTCACGAAGATATTGTTTAAGCCTTACATACATCACCTAGTGGTGTTTAATGGCTGAGCACTTGATCACTATACCAAGACCAGCCTTCTTGTGGAAATAAGCGATAAAAAGATTAGATTAATTTCACATAGAAACATAAATTTTGGTAAATTTGTTCTCGATTTGGTCTTTATTTCAGGTTCTAGAACTATGAACTCATATTTTGTTTTGGCTCTCATTTTTCAGGTTAAGGATACCATTCAAGTAGATCATAATGTCTCACGACACTTGGGTTATGAACTTAACCGGACTGATTGGAATCTTCTGGTACCTAATTATCAATTCATATTTGACGAAATTCACAAGAATAATCCATACTTTTATGGATTCATAATAATAATCCTTACTTAGAGTGTCCATATAAATAATCTGTACTAGCAATAATGTCCACAAGAATAAATTGAAATGAATTCAAACTCATGCCCATTTTGTACTATCATACCTCCACTTTCCCTTTCATCACTCTTCGTCTCGGTTAACACTTTTATGTTCCAACCTAGAGAAAATCACATATGGCGGAAATGAGGTTGAGATTAAACAGGTTTTAGTTTGAATTTTCCCCGAGAAGAAGAATGGGGAAGAGAAAAGTGTGAATAAGAGTTGAAAGTGTTAAACGGGCATTAATTTGAAGTCACCCTAATTTATTCTTATGAACACCATTGCTAGTTCGGATTATTTTTGTGGACACTCTGAGTAGAAATTATTATTGTAGAATCCCTAAAAGTAGAGATTATTCTTATGAATTTCACCTTCGTATTTTGTGGACTTTGAGCTTTTGTAAATTTAACATTCCATGTAATGGTAAAACACTAATATGTATGATGGCCAGAGGGGAGGGTCATGCTTGCATTTGGTATTCTCACACAATTTAAAAAGGCTAGTTGAGGTATGGAGGCTGTTTGTTTCTGAGAGACGAGGTGTAAGCCTCTAGGCTCATTGAGGAATAAACATCAAAATATACCAACAAATAATAAATTCTTAATAGTTAAACCACGTAGTTCCAACTGAAGATGCTCATATTAAAAATCCAGAAAGTCTCAAACACAAACACATGATCATATCATCACCCCATATTTCAAAATGAAAGTTCAAACATACAAACAAACACATCACACATTTAAGATCCAAGGTTAAAGTTAGCAAGCAAACTCACAAATTACACAATTTGGAAACACCGAAGTTTAATCCAAATGTGAAATCTGAAAGCTACCCTCTCAGCCTTATTATTACAAGCTCATTATAAAAAAGTTATACCTGGACTATTTGGGCGTACGCCTCTTATCCTGCAAGAAGGGCGTCCGCCTCAATACCAATTTTGACTAGTCTAGCAGTGAGACGCACCTCAAAACCTGACTCTTAAGCGCCTTTTGAAACCATACGCGGTAACTGATAGGAATCAAGGAAGGCAACAATCTACCCTTAAGGATGACTTTACCTTTTATGAGAAAGTTTATACTAGAAAAGGGAAGGGGAATAATAAATAACTAGTTGGTTTGTAATTGGGAGTTGGGTGGAGTATTATTAATAAGTGCTGTTATGTTTAGTTGGACAGGTTGGAACTATCTGGTTAGTTGGGATTGGGAGTTGGAATTCTGTAACGACCTAGGAACTATACTTTCCTTTTCTGTTAGACAATAAACTCTCTCTATCGTTGGTCTTCTCCATTTTTATCCATTTGTGAGCTTGGAATTCTGGTAGATTTAGCTAGAAACTATCATTTGGTATCAGAGCTTCGTTCTTGACGCCTGTCCATGGTTGCTACGCATGGAACCATGGAAGGAAAACTTGAAAGTTTGGAACACGAGTTGGAGCATCATCGCGAAGAGTCGTTGATCAATCGCGAATAGATGAGGAGAACTCGCGACGAGATCAGGAACACTCGCGATGAAATCCGGAACAAGATGGCTGAGCTGCGTGAATTGATGATAAAGCAGAACATTCGGCAGGAGCGAGGAAGGTCAAAAACCTCAAATCGCGACAAGCGACATGACAGTCCAACTCAGTCATACTCCAGAGGTTATTTGGCGATCAATTTCATCTAGAGAGGAGGATAATAGTCATAGACTGTTTATGAAATCTGGTAGGAAGGTGGATTTACCACTTTTTAACGGATTAGATGCTTATGGTTGGACTATAAGAGTCGAAATATTCTTTAAGCTCAACAACATAGCTGAAGAATATAAGGTAGAGATAATTACCTTAGCTATGAAAGAGAACACCTTAAATTGGTTCCAATGGTGGGAAGAATAAGCAATAATGCGTAACTGGGAACAATTTAAGGCAACTCTAATCCGAAGATTCTAACATTATTTGGTACAAAATCCCTTTCGCCCTCTGTTGAGTGTGAAACAAACTGGCAGTGTCATGGAGTATAGAGAAAGGTTTGAACAAGTTGTAGCCCTTTTACGACATACAGATGTGGGAATGCTTTAGGGGATATTTTTGAATGGTCTGAAAAGAGAAGTAAGGGCGGAGTTGAAACTATATCCAACCAAGACTTTAGCTGATTTGATGGATAGGGCTTTATTGTTGGAAGAAAAAAATCTGGCTCTCAAAACAGGAAGAAATAAAGAGGAGGAAAGAAGAGGATGGAAAGGAAAAGTGGGCAGTACATCAACATCTCAAAGATGGATTGATGGTACGAAATGGAGATCTAATTTGAGTAGTCAAACTCGACCAGATAGACTGCCATTGGAAAAAAAAGGGAAGTTAAGCAGCAAGTAAGCCTATGACCTGAGGTACAAGTGTTAAGCAGAAAGGGGCTATGCTTTAAATGTGGTGAGCACTGGAGCAAGGATCATACCTGCAGAATGAAACATTTTCAGTTTGTTGTAATAGAGGAATCAGATAATGAGGAAGAAAAAGAAATACTTCAGTTGGAATCTTGTTTAAATGAAGCAGAGGCTGAAATCCCAACAATGCAATTAGTAATCATGAGTAAGACAGGCATTACAACTCCCAGAACTTTTAAAGTGACAAGTGACAGGAAGTATACATGGCCACAGGGGTAGCAAGAGAGTGGTGGTGTTAATTGATTGTGGGGCAACTCATAACGTCATATCTCCAGATGTGGTGCAAGAAGCGGGAATACCTATTTTACAGATTCTTGGTTATAAAGTGGAGATTGGAAATGGAGATCAAATGAGTAAATGAGTAATAGTGGTAAACGTGAAGCTGTTATTCTCAGGGTGCAACAAACCAACATAATTCAGGATTTTTATACAGTAGAGCTGAAGCTTCTTTTAAAAGCATAGTCAAAAATATCCATAAACAAGGAGAAGGATATTACTTGTTTAGGGGTGAACTGGTAGAAGAGAGAGTGAATTAGCACAGGGTGAAACAAAACAGGAGAAAGGGTCGATCAAGGATATACTAGCAGATTTTCAAGAAGTGTTCCAACCATTAAATGGCTTGCTTCCAAAGAGAGATTGTGATTGATAAGAAACTGGCAGTAATCAAGCAGAAACAGTAATAATCTAGGAAATATGCAGAGAAAGAGAGCAATGGAAGTGTTTATTGGAAGAAAATGATCAACGTAGGGTACAAGCAACGGGACTGTTAGAGAAGCCCACTCTCCAAACCACAGCCAAGTCTGAAATAACTGCCTGCCTTATTTAGCTATTCCCCTTTCTATTTATAGCAAAGCATCCACGCAGGGATAAAAAGGCTACCCGCTTGCTATTTAATTACTAAACCCCCTATTCCTCCTCCTGTAGACTTTGTTAAAGTACTGAATAGGCCCCTTATTCCTATCAGTGATCATGCAATAACAATAAAGGAGGGGGCTACAATAACAAACATCAGACCTTACACTTACTCTCAATATCAAAAAAATGAAATTGAGAAGCTAGTGCAGGACTTACTTAAGATTGGAATTATCAGGCCCAACACCAGTCCATTCAGTAGCCCACTTATCATGGTGAGAAAGAAAGATGGAGGGTGAAGATTTTGTGGGGATTATAGAGCCCTCAATAAAATCACTGTACCAGACAAGTTTCATATCCCTATTATTGAAGAACCGTTAGATGAATTGAGTAATGCACAAGTCTTTTCAAAATTAGACTTAAAATTTGGGTATCACCAAATTAGAATGAGAGAATCTGATATTCATAAGACATCAATTAGAACCCATGAGGGCCATTACGAATATTTGGCTATGCCTTTTGGGCTCACAAATGCACCCTCAACTTTTCAGGCCCTAATGAATCATCAAGTCTTAAAACCATACACCAGAAAATTCGTGTTGGTTTTCTTTGATGACATACTGATATACAGTAAGAATGAGGCAGATCACATAATCCATTTACAGAAGGTGCTGCAACTTTTTAAAAGAAAATCAGTTGGTGGCCAACCAAAAGAATTGTTCTTTTGGGCAGAAACAACTAGCTTACTTGGGTCACATTATCCCAAGGGAGGGTGTTTTAGCAGATCCAAGCAAAATATCAAATATGTTGGACTGGAAATTACCTACAGATGTGAAGGGATTACGAGGCTTCTTAGGACTCGCAAGTTATTATACGTAGTAGAAGATTTGTTAAAGGATATGGCAAGATAGCATATCCTTTAAATGAGCTCCTTAAGAAAGATGGATTCCAGTGGAATCAAGTTGCCAAGGATGCCTTTGAAGAATTGAAGCAGGCTATGACTCAGTTACAAGTCCTACAAATACCAAATTTTAATAAGGTATTTGTGGTAGAAGCAGATGCTTTTGGTAAGGAGTAAGATGGGAGACTTGTAGCCTTTATGAGCAAAACATTATCTCCTAGAAATTAGAACAAATCTGTTTATTAAAGAGAACTCATGGCTATTGTTTTAGCCATCCAAATATGGATACATTACTTGTTGGGAAGAAGGTTTCAAGTTCACACTGATCAGAGAAGTCTGAGGTTTTTGACAGAACAAATAATATTGGGAGAGGATCAACAGAATTGAGTAACCAAACTGTTGGGATGTAATTTCACCATCAAATATAAACCAGGAATATAAAACAAAGCAGCAGATGCACTCTCCAGAAAAGGGAATTTGTATTCACTATAAATTTCTATTCACTATCTGTGGTCACATGCCAAGAGTGGGAGGGTTTAGAAACTGAGTTAATGGAAGATGAAAAATATTAGGGTATTATGCAACAACTCTGGGGACAACCAGATTCTATACCTGATTTTAAACTTCGAAGTGGTTTGTTATACTACAAAGAGAGATTGGTTATTCCCAGGAATTCTGCTAGGATACCATCAATCCTCAAAGAATTTCATGAATCAGCAGTAGGAGGGCATGCTGGGAATTTTAAGACAATGAGGAGGATCTCCACACTGTTTTATTGGGTTGGAATGATGGCAAACATCAAAACTTATGTGCGGCAGTTTTATGTGTGCCAGAGAAACAAATATCAAACTTTGAATCCAGCAGGGTTACTTCAACCTCTGCTTATTCATATACAAATATAGACTGACATAAGTATGGACTTCATTGGGGGACTCCCAAAAGCTTGTGGAAAAGACACTATCTTGGTAGTAGTTGATAGATTGACCAAATTTGCACATTTCATTGCTTTGGCTCATCCTTACAATGCTAAAGGAGTAGCTGAAGTTTTCATTCAGGAGGTGGTCAGATTACATGGTTTTCCAAAAACTATTTTATCTGACAGGGACAATGTATTTCTTAGTTCTTTTTGGACAGAATTATTCAAGTTGGAAGGGACAAAATTGAAATACACTACAACCTACCATCCACAAACGGATGGACAGACATAAGTGGTTAACAGATGTGTAGAAACTTACCTCAGGTGTATGGCATGTAATAAACCAAAGTGCTGGCCTAAGTGGTTTCCTTGGGCAGAATTTTGGTACAATACAAACTACCATGTGTCTCTTAAGAACACTACCTGCAAAACCCTCTATGGACAGGATCCTCCTGTGTTGATTTATTAGAGGGATGCTACTTTACAGAGAATGGTGAAGTTACCAGATTGACAGCAGAAAGGAATGGTATGATTGATGAGTTAAGGAGTACATTAGCTGTCACACAGAACAGAATAAAGCAGCAAGCAGATAAAAAGAGAAGACATGTTCTGTTGGATATTGGAGATTGGGTATATCTAAAGATTCAGCCCTACAAATTAAAAAGCTTGGCGAGAAGAATTAACCAGAAGCTCAGCCCTAGATATTATGGGCCATTTGAGGTGATTAAAAAAAAAAAACCAATAGCCTACAAACTAAAGTTACCAGATGGGTTTGCTACTCACCATGTGTTCCATTTATCTCTACTGAAGAAAACCTTGGCTCCTGACACCCCTTTCCAGCCTCTTCCCAAATGTATAACTGAAGATTGGGAGCTGCAAGTTTATCCAGAAAAAGTGGTGGACAGTAGGGTCAATTCAGAAGGAAAACAAGAGATTTTGGTGCATTGGAGACATCTACCATATTTTGAAGATTCATGGGAAGGGCCCCAAAGATTCCAAGAACAATTCCCTGATTTCCACCTTGGGGACAAGGTGGTAGTTCAGGCGGGGAGTGATGATAAGAATCATGGAAGGCAACAGTCCACTCTTAAGGATGGCATTACCTTTTATGAGAAATTTTTATACTAGAAAGGAGAAGGCGGATAATAAATAACTAGTTGGTTTGCAATTGGGAGCTGGGTGGAGTAGGAGTATTATAAATAGGTGGTGTTATGTTTAGTTGGACAGGTTGGAACTATCTGGTTAGCTGGGATTGGGAGTTGGAATTCTGTTACGACCTGGGAACTGTATATTCTTTTCTGTTAGACAATAAATTCTCTCTATCGTTGGTCTTCTCCATTTTTATCCATTTGTGAGCTCGGAATTCTTGTAGATTTAGCTAGAATCTATCAGTAGCTCACTAGCTCACACACACATCCAATTGTTCAACAATTTTAACCCTCTGTTGTGGTATAATGAATCAGATTAATATAATATTGGTCATAATCTATCAATATTTGGGTTTTATTAAGAATACCACTTATTTTGTTGTTATCATTTGTATTACATCATCTTCATCATCATTATTTTCACTTCATCTTTCATAAGATTCATGACTAGACTCTACTTCAGATTCTACATTATCTTGGCTTGGACCACGTTGGACATATTGGTGGGCGCAAGAGGTATTTATATAGCCATTTTCTTTTAGGATTTTAAAACTATTGTACTATAATTACTCCCCATCTTTATCACCACCACCACCACCACCATCATCATCATCATCATTTATTTTCCTCCTGCAGTGCATTAATGGCCCCTAAATTGAGGGAGATGGATGAGACTATCAAAATTATTGATCAAAGTGTTTTACAACCTCAAGATAAAGATGAAGGGCGGACACTCCTGGTTTGTGTTGCTTTCTTCTCACTATCAGATATTTATTAATTTCCAATTTCCCTTTTCATAATGAACTTCATCGTTATTGCCCAAAATATGTGCAATTTAGTTAACAGCCATACTTTATCACAGAACTTGAGATTAGTTCTCTGTGGGGTTGTAATTTGAAATACTCATTTGCCATCTCTTTCTGAGAGTTGTGTCAAGTAGAGCGCTGATTAGGAACCTTCATTTAACATCCCTGTCATAAATTCGTGTCATGTTAAATATGGTATCTAGTATTATGGATTTATTAGAACTCAAGGTAATTGCCAAATTGAGAACAAACTTTGCACAAATTGTCAATAATGGCATATTGGCATGACCTATATAATAACAAAGTAAGCACAAACTTACAGCACGACTAATGCTTATATTTCTCAATTCCAGAAATGCGAATACACTTCACCAATTTTTTGAGATCCTACTCAAGGTTTGGTATCAATAAGTGTGAATATTATCAAAATAATATATTAAGCAAAATAAAATTCAAAAATCTTTTCTATTCAAAGTTCACATATATTTATTTCAAAGTGTGCTACACAATTTGTCCCACAACTACTAAAATATAATATATCAAACCAATGTATATGATATGGAGTTACTGTGTTTATGGCCATGTGCTTGACTCTTCAGGGACCCCAAATATTAATGTGGTATGAGATCTTTTCCAATCTGTTATTATGATTAGCTGATTAGCTCATCATCATCACCCAGTGCCGCAAGGGCTCCTACCTACGGTGGGGTAAGGGGGGGTCGGACGGATGTACGCAATCTTATCCCTGTACTAAAGCACAGAGAGACTGTTTCGAGATGACCCATAGTGAAAATCACATCGAAAATTGCATGCTTTTATATGATTAGCTGATTAGCTCCTTATGAAAATCTGAAAAAGATAACCAGTTCTGATGAGGTATAGGACTGCGAAGGTAGATGCTTTTATAAATAAATTGCATTGTCTAGATGAGGTGTCAGGTAATAAGGGGGGGGGGGGTTGTATCCTAATATTGACGAAAAAACCAATTTAAGATATTTGAGCTACTATATCTATGGTTACCACGTTGACAATAGTTGAAACCTGAAATCTTAATATGATATCAGAGTATACTCTTAATGTGGTAACCATGATGTGGCTTTCTATGGAAAAAATGAAAAAAATGCATGGTCCAAACGAGATGCTGGATTGTGAGACTGTGCTATGAATAAATTGCATGTTCTAGATTTAGTGTCAAGTTATGAGGGGTGTGCGCTCCTATAAGAAAGTAAAATAGCATATTGTTAAGGGCACGTATTAGCAACCTTGTCCAAGGCCTGGAACGGGAACCCTAGTATGAATGAGAAGAGAGAGACAAACAATTCTGGATCTCATCATCATCATTTTCATTTACCCCAGTGCCGCAAAGGCTCCCACCTACGGTGGGGTAAGGGGGGATCGGATGTACGCAGTCTTACCCCTGTACTAAAGCATGTACTAAAGCACAAAGAGACTGTTTCTGGATGTCAAACAATTCTGGATCTATTTTAATTAAATGTGAAGAGAGGCTGGAAATAAAGGGCTTAACGGAATTAATTTTGGGTTCTGACCTAGTCAAGACATCTTAGAATGAATTCTCTCAAAAGCTGTTTTATTAAATTAATTGAGAACCCTTTAAATAGGTATTCAGGGTTTCCTAAAGTGAATTGCTAATTTGCTATTCTAATGGAACTACAATAAAGGAAGACTAGTCCAAATAGGATTAGCTATAATAAAGGAAGACTATCCCAAATAGGATTAACTATAATAAAGGAAGACTAGCCCAAATAGGATTAACTAATATTAATTTTTAATATTAATAATAATAGGACTTTTCTGCTTGCTTGGGCCTTTTTCATTAGCCACTTTGTTTCCTAATTTCATCTGTCCCCCTTTGATCTCTTCTTTTATATGTACGACCATAAAACCGGTCAGTAACACATATGTGAGGTGTCTAGAAATTTTCCCACATTAACTAAGATATGAAATAACAAATCAACATACTCCGTATAAGATATTAGACTCAGTGATGTCAATTGCGGGCTATAGCGGCACTATAGAGGATTAGCGAGTGGAGTGGGGGCTAGGTGCTATGAGATTGCCTATAGCAGAGCAGTTGGCAATAGCGGCTGTGCGGGTGCTGTAGCGGGAAGAATAGCGGCTGTAGCAAGCGCTATAGTGCCGCTATAATTTACGAGCGGCTACTTCAGTGCTAGTTTTGAGAGAATTTCTATGGTGCACCGATACTTCACCCGATGCCGTATCCGTGTATCCGATACTGATACTCACCGATACGCATCCTGCACGTATTGAGTGTGTATCCATAATTTAATAAAAGTATCAGACTTATTTTAGAATTTATAAATATTTTTGATACCCTATTCGTGAATCGATACGCGTATCTAATCCTATAACTCTTTCATACATGACATAACGAAAATTCAGTAATCGTCCAAGCGACCACAAGATGTGGAACATCGGTAAAGATGATTTTCAGAAGTATGGAAAATATTGGAATACAATAACAAGATTTAATTAAAATCAGTCTTGTTAAAAGACTCAGATGTAAATGCAAATAGGGCACCAAAAATATTATTTGAATTTAAATCAAAATATCATTACTTAGTTTTTAAGTCTATTCTTTGAAATTTTATCATAATTGTTAATTTTTGGCACTATTATTATTTTACTAATGAACCTCTGAATTATATATATTTGCAAATTGTACCCTATATTATTATTATTTATAATAATAAATAATAATAATTTGGGAGTACTTTTTACTTGTAGATGTTTTTTGGAGTAAAAAACAACCTCACTACACCCTCCAATCCAAAACATGTGGGGGGACAAAATAACCCTACTAAACCATACTAAAATAACTAAAAACAGAAACCAAGATCAAACATAGCCTACACCATACATCTCCATGGTAGTTCAAGGCATCCCAACAACCATGATTTTCTTATAATGAGATATTAATGACTGCAATTTTTTGAAGAATTATCTGGAGCTTAATTTTAATGTTAGAGGTAAGGTACATAAATTATGAAAATATTCCCAAGGATTAAATATATTTATTACAAGCTTGGAGCATTTAATATACATGCTCCAGCTTGAGGTTGAGTGTAAAGTTAGTCATCATGTCTATGTGCTCTAACTCTTCATCTACCCTATCTTAACTCTTAATATACCGTATCTCTTGGTCTTTCATCTGCCTATTCACCTTGTATTATACATTGTTGTTTTCTCATATTGAGTAAGGTAATAATGATCATATAAACAAGTGTTATACTTCCTAGGTTCTTGTTTGTTCTAGACTTCTAGTTATTACACACTTATCCACAAAGATGTTATAAATTCAGATGCGTAGTTAGAATTCTAGACTCATTTTGCCTTTTTAATATGTGATTTGTGTTCTTTTCATGTGTTATTTTGTGCTATGCATCTAATGCGCAGTTGGTGGTTAGTGACCACGGAATGACTGGAAGTGGTAACCATGGAGGATCATCATATGAAGAAACTGATTCTTTGGCTCTTTTTATCGGTCCAAGAAATTTTGGTGGTATCAAAGTGACCCATAACAAAGTTAATCAGGTATCTTGAGTATCTATCCTACAAGCTAAAGGGCTATAATGTCCATGTATTCTGTACCATAAGGTAAATTATGTTAGGCTATGTTAGGAACCAGAGTGGAAGAGATGAAAATTGACGTAGAATTGATAAACGGAAAAGAGAAAGATAAACTAGAGACTGTTCGAGTCGTCTCAACACTCCCAGTCCTAAATCCCGATCCAAATTCTGCCTGCCTAACTCCTCACCCCCTCTCCCTTATTTATTCTATTTCTAATGGGCCAGCCCACTTCTATTAAATTAGAGGGCCTAAAACCCTATTATTGAACAGCATTAAAATACTTAATAATCTCTTATTCTTTGTAATGCCTGGGTCCCTATCATCACTCCCCCCTTTGACAACCACCTTGTCCTCAAGGTGGGAGTAAGAATATAGCCATGCTGTTCAGCTTCATTCTCGCGCCTCTTCCTTCCCAATACTTCAGCTTGATTACATGAAGTGGGAAAACCTTCCCATTTGGATTGAGAGCTTCAACCATCAGACAGTCACAATGATTGGTGTCGGTAGTAGCTTGCTCAAGGTTGTTTGCAGGAGAAAATGATGGATATGCATAACTCTCATTCTGTTCTTGATTACCCTTAGTCATCCTCTTATTTAATTCTTTATTTTCTGTTGCATGCGAAAGACTATCACCATTTTTTCTCCTATATAGCTTCTCTTCACTTCCAACAGTTCTTTCAAGGTGATAAACAATATCAACCTCTATTTCCTGAACTGCCTCATACTTTCCATTCACTCCCGATGAAACTCGATGCAGACTTTTATTTAGGTTTTGCCAACTAACTTCGTCTGAGGTATCCTTTGCACAAAAGATGGATATTTTGAAGGCATTCTCTTTCCCTTGTCTAAGGACTCTATCTTCAGCTGGTAGTATGCATGCAGGTTCCCTTGGCAGATCCAAAATGACAACATATCGCATTTCCGGAGATTCCACACCTAGGTGCTGTGATCCACTTTTTATTTCACAATTCACAAGAGAACCGTCTTTTACTACAAGTTCAGCATCTACTTTTTGACTAGAAACCATGTGAATCCCGTACCGTTTCTGAACAATTGATAGTGGTATAACCTCGTTGGTAGAAACCTTTATATTAGTATAGCTTTCATCCCAGCACCCTCTGCAATCCCCAGCAAGTGCACCTACAGAGTTCGTGAAGGAGTGATAAGCACAATTTGATATGAACAGGTAAATCTCCCTTCCTGGGCGTATGTGGCTTCTTTCCCAGGATATCTCCCGTTCTTTTGGTGGTACCTGCGAACGGATGGTTTCTCCCCTGCATATCATTGTACTAGTGGTCACACACGGATGCCCATGCCTAGGGTCTGATCCTTCCATTGCATTAGTTTGTGGATCATCCTCCACCAATTTCTTTGCTAAGGCACCCCAGAACAATACCACACCTTCACCGCCTAGAGCGTGGTCATTACTATCAACATAAGTAGCACACTTCTTCATCCACCTTCTTGTAGTAAGTGTGTTAACACCGTCTTCCATTTTCCCGTCCTTATCTCTTTCCTTGAGAATTTCAATCCATTTATCAGCAATTGCAATATGGAGCAAACCACCAAACCCTATGCCCCCATCTGTCAGTACACAAGCTGTTGGTATTCCCAGAACATTTTCACCAACGGTTAATGCATCTGTGAAGAAACCAGGAATGAGATACTGATTCTGCTCTTCAGGGAATCCTGAGCTAAAAAAAACTTCAACTCCCTTTGACACTTCCCCCATTGACCTATGATTGCCAGTAACGCCATTTTCACAAGGGCCACCTATAACACCCACTGACATCCGCTTGGTCTCCAGAGAAGATTTATCATCTTCTCTAACGGAATTTCGCTCTAGATTAACAACCCTCTGAACATCCTCAGCACTGTTAGGACCCAACTGGACTCTCTCCTCTTCTACCTTTTCTCTGGGGCGCGAAGAAAAAACACCTCCAGGGACAGGTTGTCGCTGATTATCGGACTCCTGAGGGGACGTTGAAGCTTGCAAAGTGTAGGAATCCGCTTGCGATGGAGATTGAGAACAGGAAGATACTGTTTGGAGCGTAGATGGCGAACTGTAAGAAACTTCTGGCGACTGCGAACTGGTGAGAGATGAAACCTGCGAACTAGGAGAAACAGGTTGCTCCAGAGTCTGCGATGACGAATAACCTCTGCGTTTCGAATTCTCGCAGCGTCGCACTGTTCGCGATCGTCCTCGCCGTCGACGTTTGCCATTCTCCAGGTTTGCACCCTTCCCCACTTTTCCGCGCGAGGCATTTTGATCGGTTTTTCGATGGGGTTCCTTTCCCTTTTGCGTAGACACACGCTTCTCAATTGTCACGTACAAACCAGAGGTGACCACTTTCCGTTTTGACCTTTGATAATCCCTGCGCTGCTCCATTTTTTACCGCGTGACTTAGATCGAAGCTTCCCAGAGCGGACTGCTCTGATACCAATGTTAGGAACCAGAGTGGAAGAGATGAAAATTGACGTAGAATTGATAAACGGAAAAGAGAAAGATAAACTAGAGACTGTTCGAGTCGTCTCAACACTCCCAGTCCTAAATCCCGATCCAAATTCTGCCTGCCTAACTCCTCACCCCCTCTCCCTTATTTATTCTATTTCTAATGGGCCAGCCCACTTCTATTAAATTAGAGGGCCTAAAACCCTATTATTGAACAGCATTAAAATACTTAATAATCTCTTATTCTTTGTAATGCCTGGGTCCCTATCAGGCTATAAGTTATGCAAATTTGTAAGGTTGCACAGCATTGCACTGTTGGTGAAATCTAAAGCTAACTTGTCATTTGCTTGTAATCTCATGAACTAGATTGAAGTCAATTAGAGGTGAATTGCACTAGATGCATAGCATTGCACTAGATTCAAGTCGATTTCTTTATGAGGATGAAATGTTTGCCGTGTTGTCAGTGTGAACTATTGTCATTGTCTTGTTGTAACATAACTTCGAAAAAGGTCTAATAAGGCTATTTACTTGTCCAAACCATCATATAATCCCTTAGTGAAAACAAATGTCACATGAACCAGTCTACTCCTAAAAAATGATCAATTAGATCATTTCACCCAAAGATGACATGCTTTAGCATGTCACTTGCTTAAGTTGCAATTTTGCATAATATTTGTTATTTCATTTCCTTTTTCTTTTTCTTCCTATTAGGTTTCGTTTGAACCAGAAAGGTGGACAAATTTTTCTTTTATCATTTCCTTTTTCTTCCTTTTTCTTGCCTGTGCTAGCACCAAAGGAGGGACACAGGTGATGCCAGCTCCAGTAATGGATGGTGGGAGATTCAGCTTATTATTTCTCTTGGCCCATGTTTGCACCAAAGGAAGGATGGTGGCAGTGCATCTCCAATGATGACTAGTTTCTGTCCACAGAAGGATTGTATGGTAACGAAACTAATCAAGGGACACGGTTTCCAATTTCCGCCGCCGTCCATAGCGTAAAACAGAGGCATTCAGCCAGGAGGTCTTGTCAGTGCTGGAACTCTGGAAGTCGTGTTCGTTGTCGTTGGAGTCGAATTCTCATCACATGAAGTCAGTTAAACAGTGCTCTATCTTTTTGTCAACAATTAGAGTAGAAGACTATTGATACAGGCGTGATTGGTAAGAGAAGGTGGCGTTCGACCCTGTCAAGACTCCAATGATTAACTCCAAAATTATTAATCTTACTACCTCCGTCCCGAAAAGGTTCGCCAACTTTGACTTTCACGTGGATGAATAAAGTAAAAATTGTGTGGTTGAAATCTATGCAGAGGAGAGAGAATTAACTTTAGCCACATATTCCTTACTTTAAATGGAAATGGCAAATCTTTTTGGGACATCCAAAAAAGGAAATTTGGCAAACCTTTTCGGGACGGAGGGAGTATACAACACTTCTATTTAGACTAGCGCCAAGAGTCTTGGTAAACTAGTACTAGAGGAAAGCCTAAACCTATTACTACCTCCGTCCATGGTTGTTGATGGCGCAGAATGGCGCGCAAATCCCCCATGCGCCATGAATAGTGGCCGTGGCGCGACCTATACAAGTGGCGACGCCATTTGGGCGCCATCGCCATGGCGCTGGGCCATCTTATTTAACAAAAGAGAAGTACAGGCTCGCGAGTCCAGGAAAGTAGAAAGAGAATTCCGACGAGTGAAGGCAAAAATGTCCGAAGCATCTGGAATCCACGGGAAACGTTCAAAGATTTAAGCATCACCTTCGAATCCCCTGTTCTCTACAATTCAATTCTTCCCAGAAACAAGTGTAAGGCGACCTCCATAGGGCATCAACCTCCAGTCACGCCAGGCAACGGGCTACTCTCTCTGCATCGAAAGTTGAGCTCGATTTAACTCCATATTTGCGCCATTCTATCACCATGGAAAAATGCCTATGCGACATTGATGCTGCCATGACAACTATGCTTCCTTCCCATTCAAAGGTTCTCGTCCACTATTCTTCCGTCAACGTAAAGTCTTCTTAATCTTTTACTTTATATATCTAAGTTTTATCATATTTGATTTTTGAGAAAATGACTTTAATTAATACAAATTATCACCTATAAAACAAGTTTAATACATACTTTGGAAATGATTTTTAATAATACCAACTATTTGAATATATAACAAAAATAATATTGAGCCATTTTTCGACATTAAATTTCATCATTTAAGACATCAAAAATTGATATCAAAGAATCAAATAAATGATATGTGGAAATATGATCACTTATTTGATATTATAATATTAGTTTTTGATGAGTTAAAAAAATGATTAAAATTTTAATAAAAACTGCTATATATCACTTTGATATATATTAAAATAATTGGTATTATAAAAAATTATTTCTAAAGTACATATTATTATTGATTCATAGAAGATAGAATGTATTATTTAAAGTTATTCTTCATTGATATTTTGCTACTTTATAAAACTTTTAATGTAGTTTCTGAATATGTAAATTTTATTTACTAAAAATAATTTTACTACGGACACAGATCACTTAACTTTATAGTCAGTCAAACATCTTAAACCGTGTGAGAACCTTTGTATGGGATCGAGGGAGTACAATACTGGTATTAGGACTATTAACTAAATGTAATACATATGCCATTAGGAAACTACTAATAATAATACTACCTCCGTCCCTTAAAACTTTGCCAAAGTTGACCGGCACGGAGAATAATAAAGTAAAAACTGTGTGGTTGAGGTTTGTGCAGAGGAGAGAGAAATAACAGAAACCACAAATAATTGACTAAAAGGGAAAGTGGCAAAGTTTTTTGGTACGTCCCAAAAAGGAAAGATGGCAAAGTTTTAAGGGACGGAGGGAGTATTAAACGAATAATAGTAACAACAATAATAATACTAATAATGCCAAGTACCTTGTGGGCTGATGGTATCACTGTGGCACTCCCAAGGAGGAGGTCACAGGTTCGAATCCCATCCTAGTTCAAGGATGCTGGCCTTAACAGAACAAATACTATAATAGGTTGAGAAAATTCCTTATATAGGACTAAAACAAAAACTAAATGCACATATATAGGACTATCATTGTTTTCTTCCTAAAATAGGACTTATTCACTCCTAATAGGGAAAATTTTATACTTTTAATAGGATCAAATAAGTCCTATTTTGGGAATATAATACATATAGTCCTATTTTTTCATTTTGTCCAAGTTTTAGTCCTACTTAGAACAATTTCTATAATAGGTTAGAAAGATTTGCCAAAAAAAAGTAAAATAATACTAATAATAATAGTAACAATAATAATATAATAATAATAATTGTTAATATAGTGAGACACATGAAATTTGTAATATACTTGTGTGATCACTGGGAACTAATGTTTTAGGATTGATTAAGAATTTCACATAAGTATATTACTAATTCTACAAGTCAGTTGCAAGTCATTTGATGTCAATCGATCATTTTGTAAAAAGTAGACATTGTTATGCTACACTTATTTTAGTATATGGGTCTACTATGTCAAGCTCTCAAATTAATAGAATGAATTATTTGATTCTTTCATTAAATTTTGTTCACTATGGAGTAATAATAGTATCTTGTCCCTAACTCAACCGAATCCACCCCACCCAAAGATGCAAACATGCATACACAAAAATATATGTACTTGTGCATGTCCTCATGTTTATATGCACACAAGCTTGAATGGTTGTGTGTCTACATGTATAATGAAATCCTTGTGATTTTAACAAATGTATGGATGATTTAGTGATAATAAGCTATAAAGAATTCTTCTAAACATGTTTTCCAGGTTGATATTGCTCCATCATTAGCTCTTCTCTTCGGTGTTCCTATTCCCAAAAACAATGTCGGGATGCTGTTGGGAGCAGCGCTGAAACCTTTGACAGGTTTGAATCTTAGATTAGTTTTATATTTTTCCATAAATAAAAAGAAGATAAAGCTAAACTATAGAATTTAGCTTGAATGTCATTGTTGAAACCCTAACCTAACCCTCATGCGCCTAACAATGTCGGGATGCTGTTGCGAGAAGCGCTGAAACTTTTGACAGGTTTGATTCTTGTATAAATAACCCTCGTGTGTTTTTTGTAGATGAAAGAGTCAATGGATGGTGACAACAGATAAGTGATAATCAACGGTAGAAACTGTTGCCTAGAGCCAATAGGTTGAAATCCAATTTTATTAACTTATAAACAAGATTGAACTCTAATTAGGGGTTTAAATACCCTTCTAATAACAGACACAAAACAGAAATCCTAATCGCACACTTATACATACATATGTATACATATACACCCATACATACATATACACATATATACATATGCATGCATATATACATATATATATACATACGCGTGTACAGACACCCACAATCACACACATGCGTGTGTACACACCCACACCCACTGTCACACACATAGACACACATTAGCATTGTTGTGATTTCAATGCTCTAATAGTCTATGAATGTTATGTTGTGCGCTGATCTCATATATTGATGCTAGTATATTTTGCATATGTTCAGGTATTACAGATGACCAACTGCTTAGACTATTGGAATTGAATTCTTGGCAATTGCTGAGATTGCTTCATGCACAGTTTCCTGATTTAGTTTATGAAAAGGTTTCATGCACTGCCTCTTGTAAAGAGAATTTTGTATCAAGTGATCGACTACAAATGCTATGTTGCTTGTACCTTGAGGCTGCATCTCTTCATGGATCCTGGAAAACTCAAAGAGGTTTCAGGTGGGTACTTCTTTTTGCATCTGTTGAAACATGATAGAGAACTCAAGCAAGCAGTAGAAATCAGTAGTATATTGATGAAGTTGCAGAGTTACAGTAGCGGAATTAGAAGAAAGAGAAAGATACATCGAGACACTTAGAGCAGTCCCCTCTCCCAAGTCTATCCCAAATTCTGCTTACCCTTCTCACTCTTCCCTTTTCTTATTTATAGCTTTCCCATACAAAGATATTTATCTGCCAGATCAGTTATTCCCACTTCCCGCTTCTCCCCTTCTATTGACTCTTCTTTTATACACTTCTTCAAAGTATTGTATATTAGTATTTTTATTTCCGCTTCTATCGTCCATGTCTCTATCATTACTCC